TTTTTTAATTGCTTGGTTTTTAACCAGAACACATTGCAGCTCAGGTTTAAAACACAGGTGTGCAAGGTGAGGCAGGTACAGCCGAGGGTTGGATGGTTTGCAGAGCTGATGGGAACAAATGGCTGGGAGGGAGAGAGGAGCTCTTTTGCTGAAAGGTGCAGTTTTGCAGTTTGCTTTTGAGATTGAAGAAACAGGCGTGACAAGATGGGCTGAACTGAAAAGGAACAGACTTGACAGATGAGGAGGAGAAACAAAATGGGAGCCTGAGTGCAGGAAAGATTAGGCATAGCCTAACTTGAAAACACATGATACCTTTAGTTTAGGGGAGGAAAAAAATACCCTAAAAATCTTAATTTCTCTATATGCTGAAAAGCTTGGTTGAGTTCATAGTTTGTTGCTTTCATATAAGCTGCTCTCATGGACACTTGTACCCATGTGCTGAATGAGGACATGTGAAATCTGTAAAGTGTAGATGGAGGTGAAAGCTATGTATACCTAAAGTGTCATTTAAGCCAGTTTTGATAGGCATCTGCCTTTTACTTGAAAAAACTGCCTCCGTTTTGCCTTCAGATATTTAGGCCACAAACAGAAAAGGCTATGGGATTGACTGCATGGGAGAAAAGCTAGTTTGTATATCCTGATAATTCATTTTGTTTGCAACCAGGAACTACTTGGTATTTCTTCATTGCTTATTCTTTCTAGGAAAGTCAAGAAAAAAAAAATTATTTTCTTTGGTTCCTGTTTAGGTTGTCTTCAAAATTGCAGCACCATTTTAAATTGTCTTCAGTCTATTCTCATTACTTTCCTGAAACTGGGATACCAGAAGTAACGACTTGTCACTCCCGAAGTGCCGTCACTGTGGATTATATTTTCTATTCTGCAGCAAACGATGATACTGCTACCCAGCCAGGTAAAAGAAACCAACTTTTAATGATTATTCACAAATGCTAAATTGGGAACATTTGGATGCTGTTCTAAGGGAAATGTAGTGATAATTTAAGCCATATGAAGTACCTCGGAGGTTCATGGTGGTGCTTTGAATGTCAGCTGTTACCTGAGAAACGTGGCGGGGCTTGTCCACTCACTACAGTTGGACTTGTAGTGCCACACAAGGCAAACTTTTTCACCTAACTGAACATTCCTGTAGCTGTCATCTCAGCATGGAGACAAGAGCTGAGGCTACAGAAAGGCAGCACTGTAAGTAGCACCTGGGAAGTACTGCTGTCAGTAACTCACGCAGGGCTTTAGTGGCCAGACCTACAATGAAGCAGTGTTTCCAATCATCTAATTGACAAAATGGTGAACGGCAACTTATGATGTGCATTAAAACTGATAAATGAACTAGTTCTTAGAAAGTTACTTTTCCGATAGTCTTGATGTAATGTCTGTCAAGTAACTGACCTCCGTGGCTTTTGCTGTGAGAGCAGCCACTTGCCCATGCCCAATTGTCACTCTCTGGATTGCAGTTGCAGCTAAAACTCACCAGATGGTGCAAGAAAGACATGGTACCTCTGCGGGTGTGTTTCTGGCTGGGTAACAGTGCTATCCTTCACTGCATTTGTGTTCTTACCTTGGATACTTCTGAGCACTGCACTTGCCATGTCATCATTAGTTCTGTGTTTTATGCCATCATCAAAGGTCATTGCACAGCACAGTGCTATCAGATAAATGGCTCTGCAGAACTTGGAGCAAAGAAACCTGGATTCCGCTCCTGCTCCCACTGTAGATCACAACTGATTTTTATAAACTAACATTGTTTTTGGTATGTGAAATGAAAATACAGCCTTTATCTCTCACACCTTGAGACTAGATTGTTAAAATTCATGGAGTCAATGCACAAGAGTCTCATTTGTCATAACATGCACAGTAAATGCCACCTTAATGCAAAATACCAAATGTAAAAGCTTCACAATACAGAAATAAAAACTAGGATATGAGAATTATCTAAATGACTTCTGAATGCTGTGTTATTTAATGGAGTGCTTTGTGATTTCAGAGTGCACCCCTCTCTAAAATTCAATCCTAATTCAGCTGCTTATGTATTCAGTTGCAGTATCATTGTCCCAGCAGAGCTACAGCACTTTTTTTCTTTCTGCACTTGTTTTTCAAATAGATTCTTCACCCCACATCAGAGTACAGAATGGGATTGAACTTGAGTTTTCCAAGTAGTTTAAACTGGTGTAGTTTCTATTGATTAGTTCTTAGAAACTAAGTAATAGTCCGGATTTTCAGTTTTCTGATGACCCGGGCCTCTGTATTAAAAGTTGTGAAAGTCTGAACGAGTGAGTATTAAATGTGGTCTAGGCTGACTCATTGCTTTTTTTCCATTTAAAGGTTTTTTTTTTTTGGAAAGTTTTTTCTGCTTTAGCCTGTGTTACGCTTATCCAAGTATTTGGTTTGGTATTCAGAATTTGCTGTGAAAGCAGGGTTCAGTGTCTACCCAAGTCCTGCAGGACTCAATTTTGCTGGTTCCAGAGTGCTCTGAGCTGCATGCAGACCAAGCTCCATAGCAACAAACTGCTCCTTTGGAGATGTGCAGGTGCTGTGCTAAATGATAAATTTGGCTCAAGAGCTGGGTGGACGTGTGCTCTAGAGCTACCGAGACATCTTTGCAGTAAAAAACGCTTTTCTTCAGAGCAGCAGTAAACAGCTGCTGGGTTTTAAGAGAACTGGAAAGCTGGCAGGTGGCAAAGGAGGGAAGCTATTGAACTATCTGAGGAGTTTAACAGTTGCTGGATAATCCTTTAAAATTTGCCTACTGGTAAGCTAGTACCAGGTTCAGCCAGGAAGTTCTGAAATTGCTGATCACTTTCATACAGAAAATATTTCTGTCAGTTACAGCTGCCCTTTGTGCTGGTCCTGAAAGCACTCGGGCTGCTCAGTATCATCTCTGCGCTCTGAGAGCAGTAGCTAGGGTTGCTGAATAGTCGTCTCGCTCAAGGAGATAGCTCAAGAAGTCTAAAAGTTAGACACATCATGGAAGGATCTCATTCTCAGTGGAATTTCTTTACTTGAGTTGGAAAAGTTTCTTACTTTCTCTTTGCTGATGATAGTTTTCTGGTTTGTTTTTTTAATGAAGACACAAATATTTTTAGTATAGTGTAATAATAAGGTGTAATAATAGCAAAGCTGTGAGTCATCTTCCCCTCTTCCATGAGCCATGTGGTGTTTCTTGGGGAGTGGGGGAGGATTTCTTTTGTGCTGGTGTTTTTTTGTTTGGTTGTTTTGGGGTTTGTGAGTTTTTTCTTTGTGGGCTGTTGTTTGGGTTTTTTTTGTAAGCAGCTATAGGAATAGGTAGCAGGAAATAATGGAGGAAGATCCCTTTCTTACGATGAACATTTAGGAGGGGAAATGCCAGAAAGCTTTCATCCTTATGAGCAAGAGTTCCTGTATGACTTGCCTGCTGGAGAACCGTGTACTTGAGGATACAGAAATAAAACGTTATGTGAACCAGTAACTCTCAAAAGATGCTTCATTTTGCAAGTGTCAGCTCTGTTTAGCAATGTCATTGTGCTAGAGTATAGGACTGGACTGTGTGAGACTTTGAGGGGAGTTACAATGAACAAATAAATCCCTTTCCCTTTCTACCTCAATTTAGCCCTCCACAAACTTTCTGAGTACTTTGAGCTCTAATGATGAGAAGTTCTACTGCGAGAGTAATAGTAAACAAGAATTTCTGAACTGCCTTATTGGTAATTTTGCATGGAACGATAATGACTTCAGATTATTTCTGCCATACTGTTTTCTTCCTCCTGCATATGTATCAATGTGTGATTTTTAGCCCATGATGATGAACTTCATTTTTCACTACTTTTTTTTTTTTTTTAACCAGGAGGAGAGGATTCTTTTCATGGAGGTCTGAAACTTCTTGGCAGGCTGGCACTTCTAACAGAGAAAGATCTTTGGACTGTTAATGGTCTTCCCAATGAAAATAACTCTTCTGACCACCTGCCATTGCTAGCAGAATTCAGGCTTATTGAACGGTAATATCCAAAGGACTTTCTGTGTCAGTGAAGTTACCTTCACCTTCTCTCTTCATGTGATTATTTTATTTTTTTTAAAAGGTTAATTCAAGCGCTGCTGGTCCGGTTTAAATAAAGTTTGCCTGCATGCTGATTTGTTAGTGTTGTGTAAAGTAGACTTTTTAAAGAACTTTTTTTTTTTAAAAATGTTGGAATTACTTTATGAAGTCTTTAAGGCAAAAAGAAGATTTTACATTAGCTTCCTCTTTGATAATGGAAAACATCTGTGCCAGTCTCAAAATGGCATTATTTTTCACAGAGATGCTGTAAATGGTTTTTATTGTAAATCACAGTAAAACTGATTATTCTCTAAGAACTGTGTGCTTCTTCAAGTAAAGGGGAGTGAGTTTGTGTGCACGTCACAACTTTATAATGAACTGAAAGAAGTGTCTACAGAGCAACTTTGTAGTAAGACATTACTATCTAAATACTTCTGCGAGGGAATTTCCTGTTACCAAGAGTGCAGTCAGGGCAGAGGCTGTAAGATTGGGCTTCCAAAGGAAGAAGATAGCTTTGCACTAAGCTTATATATAGGTAGCATTCACTGGAATCTTTTTAAAAGTATCTGAAATAAAACCAAGTTTAATGAGCATGAAAACTTACAGGAAACTTCATTGATCTACTATAAGAAGAAAAAAAAAATCAGCCCTTAACCTGTTGAGGCTTCATATAGATTGAACAACTGGAGGAAGGTTGGGGTTTTTTTTCCATTTAGCTATTAAAAATGTCAAGTTGTATATTGAAATGACAGATCCTGAGGTATTAAATGACCAAGATTTTATATTTAGACTCACAATGCACTGATAAACATTCTGTGCAAAATATAATTTGCAAAATAAAAAAACAAAGACTGCCTGAATAAGAAACTTCCAGGGAGCCTGGAAACAAGTCTTGTATCTTGGTCAAACTACATATGGATATGTATGTAAAACTGACTTAAAAGTAATGCTTAGAGAATTGTCTTTCAGTGTAGTGCTGGAAAACCTGCTCCCATGTTCCTGAAGTCACATTCAAATGCATTTGTCTCCCAGACACACCTCTTTGTTTTTCTCCAACATAACTTTTGGAATTTTCATCTGGGTTTCCTTTTCCTGAATGCAGAGTTACAATTGTGATTACTTCGTGCTTTGAGAGTAATCCAGGAAGTACAGTAGTAGTAATCACAAAAACAGTTGAATTGCAAAAGTACTTTGATCTTACATTGAAAAAAAAATACCAAAGTACCTACCAAACCATTCAGCTTAAATTGCTTGGAATTTGGAAGGGGCCTATTTTTCTTGTAAGCAATTGTGACTGAGGAGCTGTCCTCTACTTGTGGTGAACAGTCAAGTTAATGCTGTAGATGACTACCTATTCAATACTGGACTCTATTCAGATATTTAAAATCAGATATTCTCAAAGCTGCAGCCAATAGATGCAAGCATACTTACCAAGCTGCAACAAATTTCTGGCACTTATTTAGGCCAGGCCAAACACCTCATTATTTACAGTGCTGGCTTGAATCTGGAGTTTTTAATGCTCATTTAAAAGCAAATGTTTTGGACTTGCTGATCAATGGTTTCCATATTTGGCTTGTATTCAGATATTGTGTGTTGCTGTGACATTTTTTCAATGGCCAAATTCCTCAAGGCAGTAAAGATGGTATTCTGAAAACCATCTCCCACTTCCCTGGTAACCACATGAAACCATTAAGACAGGAAGATATATTTGTTCTACTTGATTAGTGTATGTTGTTATTAAAGGACTATAATAATTTGCTTCCCTTTACAAAAGGGGAAACTGTCACCTCAAGTGTTTTCTTCCATTTTGATGACAATACCATGGGCAAAGGTGCTACTGAAAGAAAAAGCGGAAGCTGCTTGACACAATGCAGTTAGTGCTGCTAGTTCAGGGGTTTTTATTGTTCCCTGACCAGGTATTTTCAGGGTTTAGAAACTTTTTTCAGTCTTTCTTTGTGTAACCCATTAATGGTTAGCTATAGGGTAGGTTTAAGGGCTCTATGTTCAGTGATTTCTTTGTAGAATAATGAATGAGGTAGGTATTTAACAATCTTTAGAAAGTCTGCTTTAGTTCATTCCCCTTTGTCCTGTCTTGATTTTAGAAACAACTTAGATCTTTTCTGGAATAGAAACCTGGACAGGACAAAAAAAAAAACTGAAGTCATTTTAAAAAAGACTACCATGATATTTTATTGAAGTTTCATGCTCTGCATAAACATACAAGTGATTTTTTTTAAAAAAGTCATGCATGTTTTCTACACTATTTGACTACTTTACAGTAAGTTAGAAGAATAGTCACTAGAATCACACTTAAGACAAATGCCATCATAAGCAAGTTTCAAGAGAATAGGTCAGCTGAACTCCAAGAACCAAAAGCAATTTCTCACACACCTCTACAGCATTAAAGTTTCAGTATAAGTTAGAGGTTAAGAGAAAATAACTCAAATTGTGCTGGACAATGGTAAGAACTATACACCAACCACTGTTACTTGAGCTGAAGTAAACCATGGTTTCATAGAAGAACACTTGCAACATATCAGGTAACCTTGTGCTATAGAATACAGCTGATCAAAGTAAGTTTTCACATCATTTTACCCATGAGAAATCTAAGGGATACATGAAAAAAAAATTGTTTAGGTCACAAGAGACTGAGCAGCACAAAGTTTAAAACTGAAACTGCATCTGATGTCAAATTACAAAAGAATTTCTACTAAAAGAGTGTTTACCTCTTCGATTTCACTCCTGAACAAAAAAAATTCCTATTGTGAACACAGGAGTAGACAAGTTTGCAGAAAGAGGGATGGGAAAGGCCTCCCTGTAATTGATATGGTAATCTCATATAAAGAAGTGTAATACATTTGAAAAGTCTTCTTTCTAGACCTTCTGAAGTCTAATTAGTAGAAAGCCTTTTATTGTTTGTAGAAGGTTGCTGGGTGTCCATGTTGTCTTCCTGTCCTTGGTAGGTGAGATTCATTGACTTTTTTGAGCAATGAGGTCTACGGGCAAGTGATCATCTCCTTCTGTATTCATTCAATTGCTGGCTGATATAAGTGTTCTAGGAGCTTAAATCATTCAATGTGTCATTATTGTCACTGTGTTACAACATCCTGTCTTCATCGAGATCCCAAAAAAGTAAGTGCCCAAGAGGGGAGGTACACAAGGCCCATGGCAGTATCATCTAAAAGCACAGCACAAAGGGTAGAGGCTGGACATGTACGATAATCCAGTTTCTATTTAGGCACCTAATGAAATATTTTCAGGAATGCAGCACTCAAATGCTTCCAGAGAAGGACTTCACTGATGTGAACGGTGGACGCCAATGAAAGTCTTACCACATCACTTGAGAACGCTGCCGTCCATCACAGGTCCTTAGCTAAGTCTTAGAACGAAGGGACTGAGTAGGGAGGAAGCAGGCCAGCTTGATTTTCAGCTATTTCAGACGTACAATTTAAATTATTGCTGAAGATGTTCCAATACAAGCTTCCTTATTCAGGTGTGACTAAGCCGTTGTTACTACAACACATATAGGAAAAACTCCCTGCAGCAGCAGGGCAGAAGGTTAACTTCAGCCTGCGATGTCTGATCTTAATATAAGATGTCAAAGCATCACCATCTGAGACTGCTCAGCCTTTCAAAGACAAGGTTCAGAGTTACACTTAAACGTTCAAAGAAAAGCATATAGACTCAGGTTAGTAATTCTGACATTTTTTTCCATTATTCCAGGAACGTATATAAGAAACAAACAGACGAGCAGGTGAACACTTGTCTCTACAAAACAGCAATCTCTACATTTTGTGCTTCAGCAGTGTAGTCCAGAAAGACTAAAACCTTGTGACAAAGTATAAAAAAATCCTGAAAGTTTAAAAATTCATTATTCATCAATTATCATCATTTAAAAAAACCAAACCCTCACATTTTGCCTAAGAAGAGGTCAGTGTTTAAGAATACACTTGCATATTACTGAACATCTTTGAGCAACATGCACAAAATTATAACACAGGTGGCAGTAAAACATCCAGTGCTGTTTTAATACTACCAGAAATGCTGGGAACCAGTACAAATTAGTTACAAAACAATAATACTGACAGTTTTGCATATCTGTTAAGTTTAGTGAGGTAACGTTGATACTTTAAAAACTCACACCACCTCTGCACTGCTTGTTTTTATTGCTGAATTAAATATTAATACTGAATATGATTTTTTTAAAAAAAAACTGCACTGCACCCCAGCACATCTTAACATTAAGAATAGGATTTCTTAGTTATCCCAATGCTACTACCCAGCACAATGCCCAAATTCAATTAATACTTGTACAGGAAAATTCTATTTGAAGAAACTCTCAAACCACTGGAGTCACCTGCTACATGATGGAGTGAAAAAAAAAATTATACAATAAACATTATTTTAGGTTCTCTTCAGTGTTGCCTTTTCTATGAATTTAAAGAAAATAAATACTGCCATCAAAAAAAGAAAAAAAATCCCCCCTTCTATTTTCTAGGTAAAAGTTTTCTTATAAGAGTCCACAAGTTAATAAATAGTCCCATTCCTTTTTCCTTCCAATGGAGTGCGGGTAAAGTGCAGTGGGAAGCACCTGGTAAGCCCTCTGTCCGGCGTATGGCTTTGTTAGATGCGGAGCTGGTAGCCCACCTCGTTGAGTGTAGCCAGGTCTCCTTTCTTGTCCACCACTGCAGGCCTGCGAGCAGAGGAGGGAAGAGGCCGCTGCTCACCAGCAATCCCGCACCGCCGCGCGGGAGCTGAGAGCGCAGTTCTCAAATCGGGAACGGTTTACTTCAAAACGGGACTGACTAAATGTAATTTTCTAATCACACACACG